CAAACAATTTTTTTAAAAATTGAGACTACGTGTATTCATATCAATATTTAAAACACGGGCTGCTTGAAGCCTGCCTGTCTGGACCAACCCGGACTGAGTGGAACATAACATTACAGTAGAAAGCAATAGACGTTCGATAATCGAATGTACGTTATTTTTATGGGAGGAGAAGAGCCAGAGATAACACTCCAGTTGCCAGAATAAATAAACGAAAACAGGGCTGAAATCAAAATGAGATAAAAATGTAATGATTTCGCGGGACTGCAGTTCTTGACTTTATGATCATATTTATACATATTACAAAAGTAACATCTGGAGGGCTTAAATAATAATATGCTGAGTCAAAAATAGACCATTCTACTACAATACCTTTTTAACCAATCACTAAAGGGACCGAGTGGTGTTGTTTGTAGTTACCTGATCAAGTGTAGCGTCCCCATGCCCATGAAAAGACAAATGAGCGCCAGCAACTTGGCTGCCTCCCACAGGGGCTTCTTGATGAACCGCCATGCTTCTGCCAGCTCCAATACGGCAACGCCCACCACTCCCATAATGCCCGGAGTCCCGCCCTCTTGAGGCTGGAACGACTCTACGGCGCAGCCCATCTGGTGACAGAGTGAGAGAATAGATATTACCAATTAATAGGAGTATTGTTTTAATGCAGGACTGCAGGAACAAGGAATTTCGTCAGAGTAAATTATTACCAAACGTCAATATACCAATTGTCACTGAACTCATTATGAATAGCGCAATGTGTGGTAATTCAAATTATAACGATTTGAGTAAGGAACATCGCTATAAGTATTATGGATATATATACAGCAGGGACTTCAACAATTTGGCCAACACCAGAGGTCTCTGTTGCTTCTTTCACCGTAACGTGTCTACTTTTGTTGCCTGATCCCACCAGTTACCTATTTCTTGAAACGCAATGGCTATAAGAGGGAGGATCTTTTCGGCGTTTCTTTGAGCACTGTGCATCGCTCGCCCAGCAATAGGTTGTCTATCTAATTTACAGACATGTTCCTTTTGCTACTTTCATTCTATATTTAAACATAATTCTAGCGCACCATCGTCATGCATGTGTGTATTTGTAAATCGTTAACAAATTTCTGAAAAGAAAGAATAAAATGTCTTTTGTTTTCAATGTCAATATTTTTATTTCTTCCCTGCAAGGGTCTGGTGAATACTATGTAGTGATAATCATAACCTATTTCTTGGGATAAAATGGAGCATCCACTGACCTGCCCAGGATGCATTCATCTAGCTCCCTGTTTCAATAGACAAAAAGACAACGGGGATTCTTTCTCTTTCCTACGACCACCTACCATCTGTCCTGCTACACTGCTGAGCACAAAAACCACCAGCACGCGATGCCAGCCGGCTGTGATCTCCAAAGGCAGAAGCAACAGTAGCTCCACTACCAGCAGAGCCAGAAGGTGAAGGACGCCGTGAGTGTGAGGGATGGAAGAAAACAGACGCCACCACTGCCAGCCGTCGGACGATCTCGTTTTCAGCCATGGTTTGCCCGGGTCTGTTGGTGTGTTAGAAACAGAGCCTCCGGCAGAACACAGTTTGCCTAGACAATTGACCTATGGAAATTTGATAAATTAGATTTTTCTGTGCATATTTTTTTTAAGGCAGTGGTTGTTTTGTACGTAAGGTCGCTACATTTGCTGATGCCGTCTATGATTCTAGTATATAAACAGAAAAAATCAGAAAGAAGCATTTTCATCCAGGAAGCCTTTAGTTATCACAATAGCATTTGCTTGCCAGCAAAAGCAGTTTGAGGGGATGACGAAGACTATGTGTTACCATACTATTTGGGAACCTAAACGACTTCTGGCACATTGGATTGCTTTATAGTGTTGCTTCTTCTTTCCACGTGTGCTATGTCCCTTTTTTGTTTTTTCTTTCACTGATCGATGTGCGAGTATGCTCCACCACAGAACTATCTGCTGACTGCGTTTCAATGGGAAGGCCCCTAAGAGAGCCAGGAAGACACTCCCGAGACAGCTACCATCTCTGAGGGAAGAGCTGACTGCGACGCTTGAAGAAAATGCCCACTCTCTCTTTCGCACACACACACACACACACACACACACACACACACACACACACACACACACACACACACACACACACACACACACATACAAATACACTCCTGTCTTGTTTCTTTTTCTTTTATTTCTGTTTTGTTTCCTTTTTTAATTAAAAGAAAGCTGAAACAAATAGGGAGAAAAAACTTCACTTTCTTCACTTTACTATTACAGTCTTCACAAAAATTTGAGGACCACTTGTAAAAGTGCACGCAAAATAAAAACCGGTACATCAAAATTATTCCTTCTTTGACAAACATTCCATTCATCAGTCCATAAGTGCAAAAAAGAAATTTCATCTCAATCGAAACCGAAAAGCTTGATTCCCAGAGCGCAAAAGGGACCCACCCTCAAAATCGAAAATCACAAGAGAAAGTTTCGCAAAAAGTCTCAGCAATATCAAAGAAAACGACCAGTTCAAGTTCGTGAATGTCAATGGAATTGCCAGAAGCGCGTGTGCCTACCATTCACGGCAAGGCAGTCAAGGCACCCTGACTGAGTTATCTCGGCGTCTCTTTTGTGCGCTGGGAATCACGCATTTCGGTTTCGACTGTGATGAAATTTCTTTTTTGCATTTATGGACTGATGAATGGAATGTATGTCAAAGAAAGAATAATTTGATTTGCTGGTTTTTATTTTGCGTGCACTTTAGCAAGTGGTCACTTTTTGTGAAGATTGTATCAGGAACTCAAAGCATCCACAAACATAAAAAGAAAGAAGCCAGAAACAAACCCTACCAAATATTATTTCAAAACAAGGTTGTCGCCGGCGCCTTAAAGAACGCCCCCCC